TACCCTTCTGATCAGTTTTATCTGTTATCCTATGAAAGTCATACCCAATCATCTGGAACAAGCTTTAATCATGTTAGGCTGCATAAAGATGGGACTTCTGGCCTTTTGTCGATCAGGAGCTGAGATCTACAGTTGTACTACTGAAAGAATTGCATGAAGAAAAGCTTCTGGTCTAACCCACTATAAACACACCACAAGACCTCCTGCCTTGACAGTCTTCAGGACCCCGCCCTTCTAGCTCAGGATATTCCAATATGGTGCTCCGCTTAAATAAAAATCAGTCAATTGGGACTGATCTAATGTCACAGGTAGTAATAAAGAAGGTAAAGTGCCTCCTTCCGAGGTCTGAGTGAATAATATCTGGAAGTATTGGAGGGTAAACTAAATCCCATCGAGTACATACTATACAGACTAGTTTAGTGAATATAATTAAAAATTTATAAAAGCTCAATATTAAAATTAGCTTATTTCACCATCGATGACTGTGTATTAATCGTCCGGCCCTAATTGGATCTGCCCCATTCATAGAGTGGTTAGTAGATTCATCTAGAGAAAACTATGATAGGTTATCATTATTCTGCATGTATATAGAAAATATCTAGTTTGTATGAGATGATTGATGTGATACCCAGGATTTCACTATCTAAGATGTTAAGTTAATTCTTAATAAAAGCGCTTACATCTAATACCAGTTGCAGTTTAAAAAAAAAAATAAATAAAAATAAAAATTATAAGAAAACAATAGAATATTTTATAAAATATTTAGTTAATAAAGATAAAGTTAAATAAATTTAATTAAAATATATATATATGATATATTAAGAATTTTATAGAGTAAAATATAAATAAATAAAAAGCTCAAAAAACTATAGTAAATAATATTGAAAAACTAAGAGAAATAGAAATATAAATAATAATACTTATTAAAAATATAATCAAGATAAAATCAACTTTTTTATAGAACTAGTTAAAAGAAATATATTAATATAAATAGGGAAACTAAAATATGGAAAAAAATTGAGATTATAATTAGAAAATAAATAGTCTGCTATCAAAAGAAGATCCTGAATTACTTTACTTTAAAAAAGAATTATAAAATAAAAAATATAAATATATAATAATATAGAGAAGTTTTAGTCTATAAATCAATAGTATAGTAGTAGTATTTTTAAGTTACAATTATAAGATTCATAATTCAAAACCATATAATGGCAAGTAAAAATTAAGTCACAAGTGATATAATGATTTTATCTTTCTTATAATTATAGTTAAGTACCTTAACAAGGTAATAAGAAGAATTCATTCACTCATCTGTCCATAGTAAGAACAAACAAATCAATATAAGGTTCTATATAAGGCTAGTATAAGTGATACAAGTTCATAGTACAAAATTCATACTACAATGCTCCAATAGAAAACTAAATAGAAAAATTCATTTACTTATCATAGTCATAACAAGCCATGATATAAATACAGGTTTAAAATAAAGCTAAAATAAGAAATATGATGTTCTTATAGAACTGGTTATCAGACAAGTTATAAGAAAAAGAATCTAATTACATATAAGAAACAATCAGACATGCTTATAATAAGATAAAGATTTAGTCTGATGCAATGTGAAAAATATATGATAAACTTCAAATTAAGATAAAAAACTGAGTAGTATAATGTTCTTGATATAAGATCAAGCTCTAATTAATATAGCAAAATTAGTTATCAAATATATAATAGTTACCAAAAAAAAATTTGAGTGCTAATGAAGTCAAAAAAAAAATCTGTATAAAAGATCTCTAACATCAGTGATATTGTGTATCTTAAGTAAATTTCTGATATGTTGGTTTTTCTAATAGTTATAGCAACAAGTTATCTAGTGAATCATAGTTTTAAGAAGTATTATTTTAGAAATAAGAAGATATAAAAATAGTAGAATATATTATTAGATTAAATATATAGACTCTTTCAATTCTCTAGCTTAAATAGAATTGTGAGAGAGTTCTATACTAAACAGTTATATAGTTATTTTATCCTGATTGAGTGAAACATAAATAGATCTCTATTGTACTATTCATTATTTATAAATTCTTAGACAATATGAATATTACTTATCCTAGTTATCCCTATAATATATTTTGACTATAATAAAATTTTATAATTGATGCAAAAATAAGCTAGAATTAAAAAATAAATAAATAAAGTTTCAAAAAAAATTTTGAAAGAACAAAATAATGAGTTTTATAAAGTTTTATATAATATAAAAAACAAGAAGTATAAAAAATAAAGAAAAACAATAAAAAAGAATATCCAGGTAAACCCCTTACTAAAATTATAATAGTAGTGATCAAAAATAGAATGAAATAATTAGGCTTATACTTAATCAAAACTTTTATTTAACTTTAGTAACACTATAATTAGTTTTTTTTTTTTTTTTAATTCACAATCATGTCATAATAACTTGTTTTTATTGAGAAATTAAAACAAAATCAATAATAGTTTACAAACTTTTATAAAGTGATTAACTTGTTTTTATATATAAGTACTCTAAGTCAAATTTTGAGAACAATATTAAATTTTTCTGATAGATTGATAATAGCTTTTATTTACCAGGATCATTGTTAGCAATTTTCACTATTGATTAATTTAAAAATCAATAAATTGCAAAATTAAAAAGAGGAAAGAAAAAATCAATTTGAAAAAGAAAAAAATTTAAGGTTTACTCAAAAAAATCTAAAAATAACAACAACTTATTCTCAAAAAGAATCTGCCCAATTGAAATAGTCTTTTTGCTTCATTTGAACTTCAAAAGAAATTTTTTTTATTACTTACAGCATTGAATAAGTCAATTCAATTAATCTTTTATCAAATTGAAATATCTTATGGAAAGTATTTAGACTTCAGCTTTTTCTATATAAGTTTTGTTATTACCTAAAAAACTTAAGTAAGAGATAGAAGTTTGCAATCCACATTACTTATCACTTGATTTTTTGGTGTTATAGAAGTCTTCATTAAGGGGCTTGAGTTTTCTGGGGACAAATGATTATAGAAGATTTTTCCAATTACCAATGATATCATTAAATATATGAGTATGATCAATAGAAGCTTGTTTATGTTATAAAAATAATTGTTTTTATATTAGCCAATTACCTTTAGTGAAGATTTGGGGTCAAACTGGGATAGGCAAAATTTTCTAGAAAACCATAAAAGTGAAAGCTCTAAGAAAGCTAGAATATTTTAAAAAAATTTTTTAATTGTGACAAAATCCCTGTAAAATCTTGCTTTAAGGATTAAAGGGGCCTTTAGATACTTTATAGTCCATTTTTCTTTCTTTGAAAACTTTCTTGTCATTGGTATCAAAGGTATTACTTGACTTTTCTTGACTACTGGAAGTCATGATTTTTGGTAAAGAGACTTGTAAACAATAAGGGAAGAGTAGAAATGACTCTTAAAGTTAGACTTCAAGTTTTTTTATAGAAATGTTAAGAATTTATTAGCAAAGAAGTAAAAAAACTTCTTGTAAACATCTTTTTTGTGTGTAGTCAGAGGATTAGCAAAAAGAGTTTTTTAAAAATTTAGTAATACTATAATTAGTATAACCTACATTATATTTAATAAAGTATATATAACTAACATAACAGAGGGTTATAAAAAATTAGATTAATATAGTTTGTTTTATTTTTATATACTGTATATTATTTGAAATAGTAACATTTTATATACTTTCACATATTAACTTATTTATTATTAAAATTAAACTTTCTTTAAATATATAGTAACTTAAAGAATAAAATTTTTTCCTTAATAATTTTTAACATTAAGTTCTTTATCCATAGTTTATCAATGTAATCTTCTAAAATTCTATTTAGTAAATTAAATTTTAACTATTTACTACTCTTTATAACTTTATATTCTTTTGTATTGTTATAATGTTTTTGTATAAAAATAGATTATAGAACATTTGTCACATGAGTGGAGAAACAGTTTCACTCTGATCCTTACCATCCTTTGCTTTTATAATATACAAGAAACCCTTTTTGTAAATTATCCCGAGTTTTTTTATTATGAAAGGCTCTTATTATGATTTGAACTTTAAATTATTAATTTTATGCTAAGCTCTGCTGTGTCGAAAAAAAATCTAATCGAATTTTTGGATGGGATGCAACTCGATGGGTATAACGAGGAATTATGTCTTACACTTGAATTACAAAGTCCTAAACACCATAATTATTATAGTCTATATCATCGGGGGAGTGAAATTTAAAAATGAAAAAGATTCGTAATCAGAAGAAGCGGGATATATGCAAGATCAAGTATATACAGTACTTCATTGAAGTGCTCTATACTGCTGAGTTATTAGGCACACACCAATCGAGAAAGGATTCTTGAGTAATTACACTAGTTGGGTCAGAGAGTATTATTTTCTTAGCATTTTTCCTTCCTTTAACTATTTATATGCAGGAATGATATGAGAAAAAAGGAATTCATCATATAATTTTTAAGTATAATATTAAGCAACATTAAAGATCATAAGAAACATCAAGTGAAAGGCCCGATCAGGTAGATACTCTGCATTGATGAACGCATTGAACTCAAAAACTCAAAGACGCTTTACATTATTGGTTAGTGGTCGCACCAAGCTTTATCTATTGTTCATTGGAAAAGGGGGAGCCGGATAAATTTTGAATGATTATTTACTTATTGCCCACTATCTTAAGGAACGAAAATATTTATGTCTCAAATCGGCGTACTATATTATTGAAAATAGCCTAGAACCATACCGTGAAGATATACTATTTCGTGATATGAAACAGATAAAATTACAGAGCTAGAATAATTCACTCTGGAAAAGGCACAATAGTCAAATTCGAAGACTTATGTGCCGATTCAAAGAATGTCCAGGAGAAGATTGTTTCTTATTTCGCTGAAGGGCGCCACAAAAATACAAACCCAATTTACGTAACGCAGAGCTTTTTTTGACTGTCCAAAGATAATAAGAAAAGATTAAATCATATCATACTCTTCAATGAGTCCACCTCAGATGAACTAGCCCATATTCTTCGTCTATAATTATTAACGTAGTATATAAGTATGCGGATGTGATGATTATTTGTGTGATCGAACTTCATTGTCTTTGATTCGACAGTACCCCCTAACCATCCATATAGAATTTGATACAGCATTCCTTGGCGAATAGAATTATCTGAATCCCTCTCAGGTAATTTCATAGTTGCCAGCTTTTTTTTCGCCTTCTGCACCTGCAACTTCAGATCCTCAATTTCGCACCGCAACTTCTTGTTTGCATTAACCCGCTCCTCCATATTCCTTTTATATGTCTCGTATGAACTTCTCAAAAGTTCTTTTATTATAATCGAAAAAATGCTGGTATAACACCTTAAACTCATTCATGACCCAGCAATCATTTTTACAAGTAATATCATCGGTTTGGATAAGATTCAATTCTTCAGACTTCTTGGAAATTGATTCTAACGGGACAGGATCTTTAGAATGGTTAAAAGTTTCTGACACGCTATTTATGTGGGTCTATCAATAATGCGTTTATAGGGAATGGAGTATTATAATAGGTGAATAGGTGTAGTTTTTCGCAAAAAAAAAAGTTTTCGCGGTTTATTTTACTAATAATTCTACGCGTTATCTCGCTGATAAAATCACGTGTTTTAGGGCCGGCGAAATTTTGTCGCGGTAAAGATAGATCTTTTATTAATTCGTTCATTCCTTATACTTTCGGTACTGCGGAAGATAACCCAACCCTGTTTTCTTACGGCTTTGATTTTATTGTTCCCGACCTCAATCTCGGTAATGCGCTGTATCAATGAATCGGTCTTACTAGGTAAGATTTACTAATAAAATTTTATAATAAAATTAGATACAAGGTTCGGGAACTTGCCCATAATACAGATATTAAAATACACGGAAAATCTTTACACTAACTATTTATTATATGGAGGTAAAATTCTTCTGTTCTAATCTGACACATGCCGAGAGTAATATATCATTAACGCTAATTGTAATTTAAAATTTCGGCCGAACTAAGCTTAATTTTGGTCAAATTATTTACGTCATATTGTAACTTGAAATTTCGACCCTATTTAAATTAGAAATAACGCCCAATAGTGTGACTATATGGAAGGTATATGGATTTATAATTATCAATATATTGACTTAAATTTGATTAAATATAGTTTTAAATTCAATATTTCAAACTTAATTTTCATAGTTATATTATATTTTTTTAGTACTATATTATTAAAAAGAATTAGTGTATTATCAATAATATAATTAGAACTTAATTATTATATGTTTATTTATTATATGAACTTTTAAACTTTATGTGTGTTTAGTAATTATAATAGATTATAATTTTGTAAAGTTTTTATTTAATATTTATTTGCAAAAAAAAATAATTTTTATTATGAAAATTTAAATATTATTTTCATTATTTTTATAACAAAAAATTCTTATATTATAACAATTTTTATAAAATAATTTAGCAATTCTATTAAATCAAAAAAAAAAACTTTATACTAAATCAATAGTTACAAAATTTCTTTATTTAATTCTTTTTTTTAAAAAAAAAAATATTTTAAACAATTAAATCTATAATTTTCAAAAATTAAATTATTTATTTACTTAATTTAATAATAAATTAAATTTTAGAATTGATTGATTAAGTTTAATTGAACTTTTATTGATTATATTATTAATATTAAAATAGTAATAAAAAATAAATGTATAAGAATTTTTATTTTGCAATAATTAAATAATATTAATTTTAAAACTTGAATAAATATAATTATTTAAATTTCATTTCTAAATTATACAAGCTTTATATTTTAAACTTATAGCTATTATAGTTGTAATAGCATGAAATAATTAATTTTTATATATTATAAATTTTATCAATTATCATATTGACAAATTTAACTTTAAAACCTTAAAATTAAAAGTTTGAATAAACACATTGCAAAATTATATTATTAAATAAATGTAAAATTTATATCCGATAAATAAAAAGATTTTGCAAAATCAAAAATAAATTTAAAAATACTTTTTGTTTGTTTTTTTTTGGACAGATATAGAAAATGAAAGTTTGTACTCTTTAGAAATTTTTCACTGATCATAAAAGGAACTTTTAACAGTATCTAAAATAGTATCACTGTAAATAAGGATCATTTACATTGTTAAATCTAATAGATAGAGAATGAGCTTAATGATGTCGCTTATTCCAAAGCAATATATGAAGAATGTTTAACACAACAAATCATATTGTTTACTATCTGTAAAATAACGCAATTTATGTTAAAATTACATAAAATAAATGATAAATATAGTATATATGATTATAATTTTTACCTTCATCATATAATTTCGTATAAATAAATTCACTTTTATAAATGGCGTCAGAAATCCTTTCTATATTCCTAGTTCCCGAATTTTTATTTTTCACATTTTTTAATATTTTGTCGGATTTTGATAATTCTGATAAAATTATTTCGTCATTTTGCCATTCTGTGAGAATTCTGTAAATTTCTTCAGCAGATGGACGATTTACTGGATTTTTATCCCAACATCTTTCCATGAGATCAATATAACATTGTGGCGTACCCGAGACGATTGGAGGTCTTAAGTTATTAAATATTACTTGAATTTTAAAATTCCTTGTAGTTTCGTTATCAAAAGGCACAGCTCTTCCTGATGAAATTTTCCACATAATTATGCCGAATGGGTAAATATCAGACTTTAGGGTATATGATTTGCCACATAAAACTTCTGGTGCCACATACGGCAAAACTCCATAAATTCCATCAGATTCTGGTCTTAATGCCACATCGGCTGAAATTGAAAGGCCCAAATCTGCAATGTATGCACTGCACAAGCTATCTGGTAACAGTATATTACCACTATGAAAATCTCGATGAATAAGATTTTGTGAATGGATTATTTGAAGATCAGAAGCAATGCAAAGTAATAAATTTAATTTCATTTTCCATTCCATTTGTGCTACCGAATAAAGATTTTTGCGCAAGGAACCCATTGATGCTAATTCTAAAACAAGAATATAATCCTTAGAAACATCATCTCGGGATATTCCATAGCATCTTAAAAATGTAGGATTTTTAAGCCCAATATCATAATATGCTTTTAACTTCAATGTGGAAGAAATAATTGTTAAAGGTACAATACATTGTTAGAAAATTAAATATATATATATATATGCTGTATATACATAATTACCTCTTTTATAAATTCCCTGCAGTATCTTTTTGATCCGTGAAGTAATTTGAGTGCAACCTCTCTAATACCCCACCGAGCCGAATATACTGTCGCAAATCCACCTTTTCCTATTTCTTCAATATTTTTGAATTCTTTGTAGGGAATCCACAATATTGAATGGTTATTTTCTGCCAATATTTTTTTTAACTCATCAGCATCGTCATCAAAATTTTCGTATTTGTTATTTGCTAAGAGTTTATGCTTTAGTTTATATTGTTTATACGTAATAATTAGTAGCTAGCTAAATATACAGTAATTACCTAATAGTTGAATTTTTTCCCTAATTATTTAATAACATATTATTATTATATCATTAAAAAATGGCTTTATTGAAATGAATCACTTATATTTGATACCAGTATATAGCCAATTCTAAGCTTCTTGTAACTCCGATCCCATTTCGATAAAAAGTAGCAATTGTGTACATTCCATCTACGTCACCCATCTCAGCAGATTTTTGATAATATTCGAATGCCTTATGTTCATCCTTTTCAACACCGTTGCCATAGTAGTAGCCATTGCCAGTATTAAATATACCGCTTGCATGACCCATCTCAGCAGATTTTTGATAATATTCGAATGCCTTATGTTCATCCTTTTCAACTCCTTCGCCGTGTTCATA